TCTCCCGGTTGTACCTGGTTGGCGTTTTAAGCTCGTTCTGACCCCGTTATAGGTCAGAACTCATCCCGGTAAGGTCCTGACTCATCGTAGGAGCGGGACGGTCGAGTGGTCGAGAACCAAGATGGTTGGAAAAGTGAAATGAAGCCGAGTCGAGGAAGAAAGAACCTCGTCTAAGGTCCGACGAAGCCACAAAGGGCGCGAAAAGTAGATTGGGGCTAGAGTTCCTCGTAAGGCTGGCCATGGTCGAGCTTAGATCATGGCGCCGCGTGGTTGAAAAATGTACGACCGTGACACATGGCACTCAGCTTCGTCGGAGCACTGCTTACCATTCGCAGACTGACGGACAATCCGAGGTGGTCAATAAATGTCTGGAGACTTATTTACAATGTTTCTGCAGTGGAAAGCCTAAGCAGTGGATTCATTGGTTATCTTGGGCTGAATTTTGGTATAATACCACGTTTCATGCTTCCACTGGCACTACTCCATTCCACATTGTGTAAGGGAAAACCTTACAGAAATTGAAGCAGAAATCATTGGGTATTTTGAAAATTTGCATAAGGGAGAGGGTGTCCAAAGATTTTCTCCCAAAGGGATCAACTCGAGACCCATTTCGAATCATTACAGCAGCTGGTTAGAAAGACCATGAACTTGAAATATGGTCGGCTATTAAATCTCTTGGGAAAAATAAGGCCCCTGAACCTGATGGCTTTACAATTGAGTTTTTTGCCAAATTTTGGCAACATTGGAAAGGGGATTTTGCTAGACTTTTTGCGGAATTCTACACAAGTGGTATTATAAATGCTTGTATCAAAGATAAGAAGGATATTGTGGACAAGGTTAAAGACTTTAGGCCCATTAGTCTTACCACCTCCACATACAAAATTATGGCTAAAGTCCTCGTCGAGCGGCTTAAGAAAGTAATATCCAGCACAATCTCCATTGATCAGAGCACTTTCATTGAGGGTAGACAAATTCTAGACCCGATGTTAATAGCAAATGAGACGGTGGATTGTTACATATTGCAGAAAAAGAGAGGTTGACTTTTAAAGCTAGACATTGAGAAAGCTTTCGATAAGGTGGATTGGGATCTTTGATTGCTGTCCTTAGAAAGAAAAGATTTGGAAATAAATGGATTCGGCGGATTAATGGGTGCATTCGAGAAGCTAAATTTTCAATCTTCATAAACRGTAGGCCTCGTGGAAGAATTCTTGCTTCGCGTGTCTTACGTCCCCTTTCACCAATTTTTTTTTATTGATCAGTGATGTTCTAAGCAGCTTACTGGAAAACATCCAGTATAGAGGTTTGTTTGAAAGTTTCATTGTGGGGAGCAATTCGGTGCATATTTCTCATTTACAGTTCGTTGACGATACGTTGCTATTTTGTAAGGATAATGAAGAGATGCGGGATATCCTTTTCGATACTAAAAAGGCATTTGAATGGCTTTCGGGCCTTAAAGTAAATTGGGAAAAATCTTCGCTGTGCGGAATTAATATTGACCTTCGATTCAAAGGGTGGTTAGGGTTGCAAAGAAGTTTGATTGTAAGTTTGAAACACTGCTTATTGTTTATTTAGGTCTACCTTTGGGTGGAAATCCTAAAAATATTTGATTTTTGGAATCCCATTGAAGAAAAAATCATGAAAAAGCTCGATAGATGGAAAAAGTACCAGCTTTCTTGTGGAGGGAGGTTGACTCTTTGCCTCTCAATTCTCAGCAGCATTCCATTGTACTTTTTATCTATATTTCGAATGCCTGTTCTTGTTAGCAAACAAATTGAGTAAAGTTTGAGATCATTTTTTTGGGGAGATGGTCGAAACACTTGGTTAGGTGGGATATTGCCTCTCGTCTCAAGGAAGAAGGTGTTTTGGGTCTTGGGAGATTGTTGCATAGAAATCATGATTTGCTAGTCAAATGGGGCTGGCAGTTTAGTATAGAAACTTCAGCTGTTTTGAGGTAAGTTGTGGCAAGCATTTATGGTATTGACCGTTTTAACTGGAATGTTTATGGAAAAAAATTGGTAGTTGTCGTAGTCCACAGTTTTGCATTCAAAAACAATGGTCGTTGGTGGCAAACTTCACCTTTTTCTGTGTTAAGAATGGCAAACGAGTTCTATTTCGGCACCATTTATAGTTGGGGGATTCTATCTTAAAGGAAAGGTTTCCATCCTTATTTCGGATATCTTCTTCTCCTTCTATATCAGTTCATAACGCTTGGGACTCACATTCTTCTTCTTGGAGAATTGAAGTTAGGAGAATGCTGAAGGATGAAGAATTGGAAGAATATTTATCTTTGATGTCACTTTTAAATCCGATTCAGCTTTGTGATGATGAGGATCAATTGAAATAGAGTTTAAACTCTTCAAAATCCTTTTTGGTTAGCTCCCTTTGTAAGTCTAGAGTTGGTTCTTCATCTCTGCCTAAGGATTTTGTTTCAAGATTGTGGATTCTCCTTAATGGGAAAGTAAATACTTCTGAAACTCTCCAAAAGAAGTGCCTAACATGCTCCTCCAACCTTCTATATGTGTTTTGTGTGCGGCCACTTGCAAAGACCAAACGCATTAGTTTCTCTTTTGTCCTTATGCGTCAGTTTGCTGGGATCTCTTCTTTCATATGTTCAATTTAGCTTGGGTAAAGGACAAGTCAGTATTCATCAACTTTTCAGTTGCTATTTGATCCTTTCTCTTCGCCTAAAGCAAGTCTTCTTCGGGTAAACGGTCTTAAAGCGCTTATATCCAAGTTATAGTTTGAGCGGAATCAAAGGGCTCTCGAAGGGAAAAGCCGTTCAGCTTTCGAGTGCTTCAGTATAGCTAAGTTCAAAGCCTCACAATGGTGTGCTCTCCCCAATCTCTTTGCAAATTATTCTCCTAGCATGATTTGTTCTAATTAGGAGGTTTTTTTGTGTAATGTTTAAGCTTCCTTTATTAAGTTTGGTTTGTTTGTATCTTTATTTTTATTTTTTTCCTTCTTCATCCCCCTTCATTTCACCCCTTTTGGGGGTTTGTATCTTTGAACAATTTTTGTTCGTTTTCATTTATCAATGAAAAGGTCGTTTCTTGCTAAAAAAAACTATGACATGTTCCAAAATTCCAATCAACTTGACTATATGAGAAAACTCAATTTTATTCTACACCAATCATTTCTTTTTTTTCATCTCCCATCACTTTTCCTTTTTAACTCAAAAGAAAAGGAACCATTTTCAATGCTACGACTTCTAAAATCCAATTTAATGTAAACTCTACTAAGATTGAACTCCATTTTCACCAACGAATATGAAAGAACCAAGAATCATAAAGTGAAAGCCCCATTGACAGAACCTTTTGATTCTTCGACTTCTAAAGGAAATTTTCTTGAATCTACCATTTATAAAGAAAGAGAGACTCCAATGGCAATTTAGTTACTTTGTTATTCTCGGGTCAATTTGGTTAGAATGTAACAAGAGGGTTTTTAAGGGAACAAGGGGATCTTGAAAAGAGGTTTGAAGTTTGAAACGCTTCTACACTTCCCCATGGGTCTACCAAGTCTATTTTATGATTCTCTCCCTGCTTTTTGTTCTTAATAACTAGAGCTTTTTTGTATTGTTTCTTTTTCTGAACAAGAAAAAAACTTTTCATTATGGTTAAAAAGTTACAAGAAAGAACAACAATTTAAACTTAATCAAGTCAGCACATAAATGGAGGATACAGAAACATAAAAAATAATAAAGGATATAAAGCCATATCGAGGATTTAAACTTAATCAAATCAGCACATTCATTCCAAGCAAGGAACTTGTCTATTTTGTAATTGTTTTATGAAGCTCTTTTCTTGTTTTAGGCTAGTATTTTTGGATGGCTTTACTTTTGTTATCACACTTGGCTTAACTAAGATGGTTTCTTATCAATAAATTGCTGATAAAAGATCTAAATATCAGTCAAAACTTTTAACAAACCTACAGAGATAAAGAAACAGGATAAATGTACTGTGCATTATGCTAGAGTATAAATACTTGAGGAACATATCATAATGATGTATCCAGCTACCTCCGTTTGCAGAATGGATCTTGAAGTAGTATATATGAGCTCCCATTTCCCATTAAGTAGATTAGATTTGAGTGGCTCCTTTACGGGGTTGGCTGCTTCAAGCTTGCATGATATCTGTTGGTAATAAATCAGAACAAGAAGAAAAATTATGTTATAATTTATTAAAAGTGATTACAAATAAAAAATTAACCATGACATGATTTACTAAATGTGAATACAAATATAAAATAAACTATATTCTGATTTATTCAAAGGGAATACAGATATACAATAATAATTTAATTTTAACTGATTTATACAATAATAATTGAGGAGGAACTTAAAAGACTTTGAAATTGCAGACTGGATTGATATCACCAATCGGCTAGTTTCAACTGTCCTTAACACAGCACCAGACACTCCCCTTTGGAAGCTCGAACCAAATGGTACTTTCTCACCTCCTCTGTCCAAAAAGCTCTATCTACGAGAACACAAATCCCCACCGCCATCCTCAATTATGAGGTTATTTGGAAGGACCACTACCCAAAGTCAAATTCTTCCTATGGGAACTTAGCCAAAAAATCCTTCAACACTGCAGATAAGCTTCAGAGACGGATGCCTCACTGGTGTCTCTCCACATTGGTGCCCCATGTGCAGAAACGGCCCTAATGCACAACAGCATCCCTTTTCCACTTGCACCCATGCGGTCTCTTTTTGGATTGTCTACTCAGCACCTTTAATTGTTGTATGGCTCTCCCTACCGACCCTAAAGCTCTTCTCCACTTTGTTCTTAAGGGCTACCCTTTTGGGAAAGAAAAGAAGCTTCTTCAGATGCATTTTGTTCGTGCTTTCTTCTAGAACACTTGGATAGAGAGGAATCATAAAATCTTCAAAGACAAGGAGCGCTCCTTACCTGCCTTTTTTTATGATACCTTTTTTTATGATATAGTTCTGCTTGTCATATCATGGTGTGAATGCTCCCCACTTTTCCATCATATTAGCCACTTGGAGACTTATTTTGTAACACCATTGGCTGGGCTTCTTTCCCTTTTGTAATTTCATACCATCAATAAAATTGTTTCTAAGCAAAATCCTTGCTCAGACATAATCCTTGCTCAGCCAACCCCAATACCACCACCCTAACTCACCTCATACTCTAGTACGAGACATAATCCTTGCTCAGCTCGACACCACCTCGGTCAAATACTAATTCAAAGATCGGAGTATGTTGGTCACAACACCACACCGTTTGTGCAAGTGATCATCTCAGCTGAGTTATCTCCACCTCAAATCCGACATCAACAAGGTTCACCTACACCAGAATCACGCATGGATCTTATATTAGCCTCACTTCAAAGGAGGAAATGCCTTCAAAGTTACATTTTTATGCTAATTACCCTTACTATTATAGGACTGGTTAAATTTTCTTCCATCTAACTATGGCTCCCTCCTCTATCCTCCCTTCCCTCACCTTTCAACCCTTCCTCCCCTCCAACATCTCTCTGTTCGGCAAGAACCTCTCCGATGACAACCTTTTCCTGTAGTGCCTTCTGTAGTCCTCCATCATGACGTCGAAGACCTTTGCAAAGATAGAAAACAAGGTCTTCACATGTACTTTTGACCCTGAAAAAAGAGGCCGCTTTCTGAGAATTATAGAATCACACCTGAAAAGAACTTTTGCCTTCTTCTACGAAGTAGTAGCAATTTGGCTTATTGATGGCATTGAGGAGTTGCTTCTGGCACCCAACACACAAAAGTTCTTTAGGAAAACGGATTGCATGGATGGTTTCATTTGGATGCAGAAAACAACGAACAAAAAAGGGAGCTTCTTGGAGATGACCAAAGTTCAGGGAGGAGGCAGCAAAAGAAACTTAGTCGTTCCCTCTGAGGAAAGGTCGAAAGGATGGGAGGCTATCAAACAGCTGCTTCTAGACTTCATGAATGGAAAATCCCAGATATCACCCGAGGTCCAGACGCCAAGAAAATTCCGATCCTTTGCAGAAGCTGTGAAGGGGTCCTCTAAGCATCACAAGGCCTTTAGAGAGAACGTCCCTCTGGAACCTAGAGAAGTGAGAGCTCTTGATTGGAAGAGAACAATTGTGGTGACAAGAAGAGACTTTCATGACGACTGAGGAAGAATACTTGAGTTTATAAAGAAACAGATAGAAGAGTCCTTCATTATAAATGCTTTCCAACCTGACAAAGCCCTCCTTAAGTGCACTTCTGAAGAATCGGCAAGATTGCTTGCTAGCAATAAAGGCTGGGTCACTTTCGGCCCCATGACTTTAAAAGTTGAACTCTGGAATCCGCTAATCCATGGACGTTTTACTGTTGTTCTTATGGTGGGTGGATCAAGTTTAGGAACATCCCCCTTCATCTTTGGAGTCTGGCCACCTTTCAAGCAATTGGGAACTGTTTTGGAGGCTTTTTAGACTATGCAGATGCTAACTCTTCCCTCATTGAATGCACAGAAGTTGTCATTAAAGTGAAGGGGAACTATTGTGGTTTCATCCCAGCGGAAGTGAAGATTGTCAATCTGGACCAGACTTTTGTTGCCCATGTTAGCACTTTTCAGGACAGCTCGTTGCTCGTCGGAAAGCAAGTAACGGTCCACAGCAGCTTCCAGCAGCGGAATCTTTTTACAAAGGAAAGGAAGGTGCAGCTTTGAACCCAGTGGATATTTGGAGGGTGCAAGATGGTTTTTTTTATCCAACGGTTAATGTTTTTCACCCCCTTTCTCTTCCCAATGCTTCTGATTTTTTGTCTGTAGGAGGTGACAGTACAGGCGATGCTACTCCCCCTACTCTTTCATGCTTTGGTGAAAAAAGTGCTGCCCTGGTGGACCCCACTACTAAGTTGACTGCCCGAGATACTGTTTTAGAGGGAATTCCAAAAAAGGAAAGACCCAATCAAATGCAAATGCGTGGTACTTTTATGGGTCAAGATAAGAAAGGGAAGTCTGTCTCTTTCTCCAAAAACAACCAGCTGAGACTTTTTAAAAAAAAGGTAAAGTGTGTTCCACGACAAACGAAAACTCCACAAAGGCCATCTCTTTGAACAAAAATGGGAAAGGTAAGGAGAAAGAGTTTGAGATGTTGTCTGACATTTCTTTCTCTAGCTTTGATAGTGAAACCCAAAGCCTTGTTTTGGGGTCGGTTGGAAACAACACGAGAACCACGATTCAGCAAATGTACCCTCCCTCAGAATATTATCATATTTTCCAGGACGTAGAAACGGGTCAAACCTCTTTGGATAATGGTGGTTTGGTAGAAATGGTGCTGGAACACCAGGGAGAACAAAATCAGTGTGTGGAGCATGACTCGGATGAAGAAGTGGAAGAGAAAAATTTCCCTTTCACTAGAAAAATGGTTCTCTACTTGCAAAAGCACAATTTGTGCATTAGAGCTATCCCTTCTAAAGCTGGGAGTGCTGCTAAGAAAAAAGAAGCTAGGGAACTCTGTAATCTTCTTAGATCATGGGAAAAGGAAGTGGAACACGAAAACAGTAG